AGTAATTAAAGCAAAGGGAGCCCCTACCAAGTATTGAGTACATATACAGTAAATGAACATACTTTCCAGAAGGCCAGCAATTCACTAAAAATGTTAAGTTATAGGTCTTATGAGGTATTCTAATTTATTGAGATAGTGAATTGGTGGGTTTTTGTTAAATGTGAACAAAATCATCACAGTTAAAAAACCCAACGGCTTAAACTACTTCAGTCTGTGTGTACTGAATTTATATAATACACGAGTTTCACTACTGGAGTTGAATTACTGAAATAAATGGACTTTTCCACGATATTCTAATTTATTGAGCTGCACCTGTATATAACAAACAGTGGTGAGAAAAGGTAAGTGAACCATGTCTTTATTGAACTCAGCCATTAAACACCAAAGTGCTGTTGGACACAGTAACTTGCGGTCTGGGCTGTGACTGGGGGACTCCGCATGGCCAATCATGATGCTCCCTTCACTGCTGGGATGGTATTCCATTGATATAAAACATAAGAACTACAGTAAAGTGAGGGGAGCATTGTGATGTGGGGCTGCGTTCCGGCCCCTGCACTGGGACAGCTTGCCAACATTGACAGGAAAATAACTTCCCCAGTCCATCAGGGAATCCTACAGGACAACGTCAGGGTGGCTGTGCACCAGCTGAGGCTCAGTAGAAGCTGGGGATCAGCAGGAGTGACAAAAAATTAAAGTAAATCTATTATAGAATGGCTTTAAAACTAAATTCTGCCATCTGGAGTGTCTCAGTCAGAGCCCAGGAAGCGCTTGTTTGCCAAAGGAGCTTCAGCCAGTTACTAAATCCAAGGGTTCACTTGGTTTTTCCACCAGCACTTGGACTGTTTAATGGCTAGGTTCAATAAAGACATGATCAATTATAACTGTTTGCATGGTATTAGCTTTAGCACACTGCATCTGTCTACACTTGTGACTTGGATGAAGATCGGATCTCGGTTTGTGACCAAATCATGTAGAAAACCAGGTGATTCCATAAGCTTCACTGACTTTTTCCTGCCACTGTACATAACATTATTTAATGTGCAAGTGCACTATTCTACGGTGGCCCTGGCAGCTCAGAAAGCATGCAGAGAGACACAGCATAAACAAATTAATTTCGGTATGTGCAGCATTTCTGTTGTTTTCTCTAAATACTGCAGCTGTGCTGTCCTCTCAGAGCCACCATACTCTTCATAGCTCTTGAACGAAGAATGACCGTACTTTGTACTTACATGAAATCTCAGGTAGCACATCTCCTGGTTGTCACACTCCATTTGGCCTCGGACACTGCAGAACAAAACCTGTGGAGGAAAAACAATTATAAAGCTTTGGACATCGAGTCCAATGTATTTATATAACCTAATATCACAACAGGCTGTCTTTAGACCTTCAAAGGAAAAACTACACACACACACGAACCAAAATAATTTAGCTGGAAAAAAAAAATGCAGACACCTCAGGCAGTGAAAACAGGATCTGGAAAACCTGCAACAATTTTAGGAAGGAATGTGACTAACATGATACTGATTTAATGAACCAGCTACTGACCCCCGACCTCAATTAATGACTTTGTGGTAAATGTTTTTTTTTCCTTTGCAATATCCTGACAAGAGGCTAAAACACCAACATGTGAGACTTGTCTGATGAACTGGGATGGCAAACACTGAATTAAAGAACATTCTGTCACATCTGACACAGCATGATAAAGTTAAGAAGCCCCCCAAAAGTAATGGTGGGTAATGATTTTCTCAATAACTTTGACAAGACATCACAACAAGTTTTACATTCCCATTAATCTGCAGGAACATATAGGCTACATTCACATCACAGCTCAAGTTTGATAAATCAAATATCCACAAAAGGTGAAAATGTTTAGGAATAAAATGTGACTAACTTATAGCACAGTAACATCTACACATGCAGCACATCGGAACTAAAGCATGAACAAATGCATTAATAAAACGGTCTTTGTTAACATTTCAGACCAAAGCCAATAAAACCAGTGAGTCGCATCTTCACAGGCTACTCCAAGTAGGTACCACCAGATGCCGCTGTACGTTCTGTATTTGAAGTCCCAAACCTATATAAGGTTTTATGAGCCCAACAATAGCACCGCACAACCTCTACTAAAAAGTTCTACTCATTAAAAATGAATGTGAATCATAACAACCAGAGCTGCAGCCCAATAACACAGAGTAGAGATCCACTTCATGACCTCCACTACATCCGGGTTATCTGTCTGCTACAATGAACCAGCCACAGTGAGGCTGCTTAATAACATCCTAATAAAGCTCAGAATTCTCCACAGAGATGATGCAAAACGCAATGCAAGGTAAAATAAAGGTTTCTGTGAACTTCTGGGAGAAGGCGCACCTCATTTCGAATTCAGTACCAAAAGAATATCCCACCGATTCATCCAGGACTCCACAGTTATCTCAGTATGGAATAACTGTGCAGTCCAATGCAGTGTATCAGGCTGGTCAGGGTTGAGAGGACGGAGAGGACGGAGAGGACGGAGAGGACAAAGGAGCCCATGAGGAGTGCTCAAGTGTAGAGATGCAAAGACATGAGATAAAGTACAGCCTTTTAGTTCCTGTGGCAGTGCTAGGGAAACTAAAAGGCACAGAAACAAGACCCTGTTCACAGAGAAGGCCGACAACTGTCAAGCACAGTACATGAAACTATTACTATGCAAGCCAGACATTTGGTGCAGAGTGGCTGATATGAAAATACTTGTGGGTATTAAACCCATCACAACGAAATAAGGTTTTACTTGTGGACTTCTCTTTTCTTTATGCAACAATGGGCATTTTTATCCATTTCTAATAAAAAATTATTTATGAGAATGAGTAATAATCCAACTTAAATCTTAGTAATTTAAACATTTCTTTCGTCCCATACACATTCATCATCCAAATCCAACATGTGAAGTTGACTAGCCACCGAAACCTTCCCAGCTCACACATACGATGGATATTTCCCCAAAACACACAGTTACTTCTAAACTAACGTACGTATACAGTGACTGTGACTCACATGTCAAAGTCTTCGTCGGTGCTGCTTCTCCCACGCCGACACAAGTTAGGCACAGGAACCTTTAGAGGGCCTATGAAAAAATACCAAATAGGCATATTACAAGATAACTCGTTTAATTCATCATCCAAATCCAACATGTGAAGTTATATGATAAAAGGTGATGATTTAAGCACCACTATTAAATCAGGGTAAGAAAGGGAGTTTAATATGCCGTGTGTGACTAGCCACCGAAACCTTTCCAGCTCACACATACGATGGATATTTCCCCAAAACACACAGTTACTTCTAAACTAACGTACGTATATAGGCATATTACAAGATAACTCGTTTATATAGCCACACAAAAAGTATTCAAGTTGCAGCTTAAAATCTCACTTACCCCTGTAACTGAGTTATCCTGCTACCAGCTGTTGACGTTCGCGTCAGCTAATCTTGACGTTAGCACACCTAGCGTAAGCTAGCACTGAATGAAGAAAAAAAAAATCACTGACGTAGTTGTTTCCGAATCAAAGACATCGGCCCTGTTTTTAAGAATATCTGATCTATGTCATAAATCTAGCATTCAAACCACTTAACTTAGAACTAGCAAGCTAACGTCATTAAAATTACATTAGCGTTAGCTTCGTTATAGCTCGACGGCTAGCTTAACTAACAATAAGCTAGGTAGCTCTTATCTAGTGAATTATGAAAGTAAACGTGCTGTAAAGATGTAGCTTAAACTATAACGTTGGCGTTATGTCAAAAATGGTAAGGGAATTTTGTTATGAGACTAGAAATTACTGCTGTTACGATCGACACAATATCGGACCTTGAAAGCAGAAGTATGGCGGGTAGATAATTTCCGCTCCACCGCCACCAAAATCACGTACCATCCTAAATATAGCGTCATTACGTCACAGTCTTATCCTAGAGGTGTAGTTGAAACATTTGCTTATTCTTCTTCTGCCATTGTATTTAAAAACAGGGTTCTAGAGTCTGTTTAAAAGTGGTCACTTTTTATAAAACACGCTTAGCGGAAAATAATATATTTTGACTGTTACAACTCAATTTAACTTTAAATACGGTGTCAGCGATTCGGCCAGCAGATGTCGCCATTTTCAACAGTTGATTCATATTGATTCAGTCCTTCAAAAAGCGTCGTCTTCTCATTATTAATCCGCTATCTATCTGTACTAGTGTCCTACTATCTATCTATCTATCTATCTATTTATCTATCGCTAGGTAGCATAATACAGGCAAAGATCAATATAGTAACGGTATAATTATTGCTATAATTATAATATAACAATATAATAACAGCAATAATAAGAGGCTCGTTTGCACTGCGGTGTGGAAGTGACACGGGTTATTGAAGGGAATACATGTTTTAATGGCTTGAAACTGTGACAGATCTCAGACCTCTTCATATCTACCAGGACACTGTTGGGCTGGAATGATAAGAAACCCATTTAGTCGTCTGGCACAGGGCCCCCGGTCCGAGAAGCCGTGCACAAGCCCCCACCACAGATGGAGCTGTGTGCACCTCTGGAGACGTCAGTCAAGTTTAGTCCAGAATCAGAGGCAGGGCTGAGTCAGTCTGCAGGAACCAGGAAGTGTGTCTATCTCTGACTCAACAAAGTACGGCGGAGAACAGGACCAGAATGTCCGCGTCTGCTTCACTGTCGGGTAAGCTGCGTAATTCATCGGTAAATGTCGCATTTCAAGAGCCGCAGCTGTGACAGAACATTGAGGAAGCCAGCGGATGTGGTGGCCTCGGTGTGAGGCGGCAGCTGCGCACGGGGCGGCCACCTTCCACCCCGAGCACTGACACTACGCACAGCCCCAGACTTTTACAAGAGCTCAAGTTATTTTCCTGTCATACATTTGAAAACCCGTACACTTTCCGGACAACACATGCACAGTAGAAACTCACATGAACGTAATTTTGTGTTTTCAGAGCTGAGGCTGGTGGTGCTGGGCCGGACCGGGGCAGGAAAGAGATCAGCAGTCTGCACCATCCTGGGCCTGCAAGACTCCGAGCAGGGCGAAGACCCAGCAGTCACACAGGAGTGCAGCAAGCACCGAGGACAAGCAGCAGGCAGACAGGTACGACCGGGGGACAGACGGGTGGGTTGAACTGGAATTGTGTTTTTACAGGCAAGGCTAACGAAGATGTGCCATAAATAAACTTGCTGTTCCTAACAGCCTGTCAGTCAGTCAGTCCCCAACAGAAACAGTCAAACAGCCTGAACAACATTCCCGAAGCAGCCTTCAACACAGCAGCAGTGTGAGCTGTCGGACCTTAAACTGGACTTTATTCACACACAGGACTCTTGTGGTTTGGGCAGTTTGAGGCTCAAAAATGACCTTTCGCGTTGATCTCCTCATAAACTGTTGTTTCCTGCCCCAAAGCTGCGCTCACATCTCACTGGGGACATTGCTCAGAAAACTGTTTGCATACACAAATAATATTTTTGCTGTGTGGCTCTCCACATCTTGGCCTTATGTAATCTACCTTCAGCACAGTCTGTGCAGAGTCCCACTTGGCCTGTGTTCTGTTTTGTTCATTCAATGATGCACTTTATGCTTCTGCCACCTCTCTGTAGGTGGCGGTAGTGTCCAGCCCCCCCTGGTTCGGCTCAGAGTGTAACCCAGAGGGGAGGAGGAAACACATCTCCTCCTTTATTGCCTTATCCAGCCCTGGACCACATGTCTTCCTGCTGTGTGTCCCTGTGAACCAGCCTGCTGATGGAGAGGCCAAGGCCCTGGCTGTCCTCAACAAACTGTTTGGCCCCTCTGCAGTGAGCAGACACACCATCGTCCTCTTCACTCACATGGAGGAGTTGGAGGAGGATGAGCAGCTGGACGAATACCTCACCACATGGCGCCAGGACCTCCTGGAGCTGGTGGGAAAATGTGGCAACCGCTACCACACCCTGGAAACCCGCGGTGAAGAACCAGGGAATAGCACAACTGTTGAGGAGCTGCTGGAGAAGGTTGAACAGGTGTTGAGAGGGAGCGGTGCACAACACCTGAGCTGCCCCCTGTACCAGGAGGCCGAGGACAGGGTGAGGAAGAGGCAGGTGGAGATAGTGAGGCAGCGCAGAGGAGAGGAGCCAAGTGAATCCTCGTCAGAAGTCGTGACAGAAGAGGAAATGGAAACGGTGCGGGAGGAGGCGGAGAGCAGCATCAGTGACCTGGACGTGGATATTGACGGCATTTTCCCCGCCACCAGCGTCTCCCAGGCGTCCTCCTTTCCCTGGAGCCTCTGGGAGAAGCTGAAGAGCTGGCTGAGCTGGCTGCCTACACTGGTGAGGAGGGAGGCCTTGTTTGGATCCCTGGTTGGCCTGTTTGTGGGGGGCCAGTATGGAGGGATGCTGGGCACCACTGTGGGATCTGTTGCTACTGAGATGGGGAGAAGGAAGACAGAGAAAACTAAATAGGAGGTCACCTCATGTGGATGTATGTTGCATTAAGTTGCACTGGTCACTAGTGTCACTGAGTTATGGGCTGGTCAGAATAGCATTTATTCTTATTTTCTGCCAGGAACCACTCTGTATTTTCTACTGGTTTTATTAATGGTGAATAAATGATTTTTCATAGATCAGAAAAATGAAGAAGAAATTAAGAATCCCTTTGGCTGCTGTTGATCTTCCTCTAGCACACCTTGCTGTCTCCATTTAGGTTAGTGATTCATCTTGATGGCTTAAACTCAGCTACTAAATGTAAACGATTCATTAATCATCTGACAGTAAAACCTGATGAACCAGCAGATTTTTGGCCAAAGACAAACACAACACTGACATATGTTAGCAAACAGCTGCCCACATCCATCCATTATCTCGAAAACCAATCGAGTGAGCTGGACATTGTATGTGGAGTTCCTCAGGGTTCTGTTTTGGGACCTAAATTATTTATATTATACATTAATGATATATCCGGGGTTTCTGATTTAGTGAAAGTGGTTTTGTTTGCTGATGACACTACCATATGGGCATCGGGTGAAAACACTGAGTCTCTGCTGTGCAGGCCCAAACCATTTCATCACATTACTGCCTGGAAGTGTAGCCCTGAAGGCCATTAACACCACTATAGTTTTCCCCAGAACACAAGAGATACAGAGGACAAAGGTGATGCCGAATGCTGTGTGTCGAAGCATGCAGGACCACTTAGAGGGCCGGCCGATGAAGGTCAGAGAACACAGGAAACACAGAGTCAAGGAGAAGAGCAGCAGGAAGCTCAGCTCAGAGTTGTTGGCCCTGACAATAGGAGTCGTCATGTATCTGAAGAAAATGGCTGCGACAACAGCAGTCATGCATGTTCCAAATAAAGCTGCTGCAGTGAGCAGTACTCCCATAATTTCTTCATATGACAGAAACTCTGCCTCCTTCTTTACACAGGCATCTCTTCTCTCATTGGACCAGGACTCAGGGTGGCATCGCTCACATGTGACAGAATCTGAAAAATTATATTAAAGCAAATGTGAGACTTGTAAAGTTGTTTTTTTTTTCTTTTCTAGTTTTTCATCTTTTCTATGCAAACAAGAAAGTTTAATTTAAGAAAGTACTTTGAACCATTCATTCAGCCATTGTCGATACCTGTTTTACAGAACAGGGTCATGGGGGAGGTGGTTGGGGTGGTGGGGCAATCCAAGTTGTAATTGGGCAAGAGGCAGGGTACACCAAGGGAAAGGTCGCCAGTTTATCACAGGGCTGACATGTACACAAACAACCACATACACTCACTCCTACGGGCCATTTAGAGTCACCAGTCTACCTAAACTGCATGTCTTTGGACTGTGGGAGAAAGCCACAGTACGAAGGACCCAGTACGAAAACACACAGGCACAGGGAGAACATGCAAACTCCACAACTCACTGGCTCTGGGTCAGCCCGGGATCAAACCCAGAACCTTCTTGCTGTGAGGCGACAGTGCTAACCACCCTCAGTGGAGCTGAGGTCACATGCACAGTCAGCTGAAAGTTGCTCATAATATTAAAAACAAACCAAAAAGACAACCACCCAGAAGTTTCTTTTTATTTGGTTCAAGTCACCACAGGGGAAAGTGCCAAGACGTCTTCTTTGTCTAATACACAAACATTTCCACCTGTGCTGATGTGAACTAAATCAAATAGATTCAGGTGTGTGGACGCTCTTTTTTGTGCATTTAGCTTTTATCCAGTATTAATATAAAAATATTGCTAGCTAAAAAACTAAAAAAAGCATGTGTCATGAAGAAACAGCCAAATAACAAATGTACAACTTGGGAATGTATGGCTGGTTTATTACTCATCTATAAAGAACTGAGAAGCTGTTTATTAACCGTTTATGTGTTATGTGTTATTATTAGTTCGTTTTAGAAAGGGCCACGTCTGTACAGGTGCAGTACTGAAAACGGCCACCAGGTGGAGACACTGACCTTTATAGTGGGCAACTACAAACCTCTGAGGTGAACTGACATTCTTATTTACAGCTTACCACGTCAATAAAAGCTGCTGTTTAAGTGCACTTCACTGTTGTTTCTCTTTAAATCAGAACATTTTCTTTGTATATGTCTTATATCGATGAAGGATATCCAACATACAACAAAGTCAGACTTCAAACACAAGGCATGTATTTTCTGAGATGCGTTATTTTAAGAAACATGCCATTACTGCAGAATGCAGAGTGGATGTAGACAGCTGGGTGCAGGAACAAAAGCCCAGCAGACTCTCTCCTCCTTACACAATGCCAGGCTATGGCTGTGACACTGATGTAATTGATACTCTGCTAAAACCGTTAGTCATAACCCTTCCTTACATCTCTGTCAGTCGCTCACTCTACACTGCTGGCGGCTCTGCCCTAGGAACAGCTAGGCGTTTCCGAATGTGGGTGGTCCGGCCGGGGAGGGAGCGAGGGAGGGAGGGGGAGAGAGAGAGAGAGAGAGAATTAGCTCTGCTCTCATGTTTCCCAAAAAAATGAGAGGGGAAAGGGAAAGAAAAAGAGAGTGAGACGCAGCAAAGGAGAGAGAGCCAGAGGCAGAGAACAAGCTCTGGGACTACATCTGTCTTCCAGATGTGGCCTCCACAGTTGTCTGAAACAGGAAAAAGTTTTTAAAGTAAAGGAAAATTGGTGCTAAACAGTTTTTTATTGTCAGGGATTACACATACTGTAAGGACGGCATACAGTACTGGCTCAGGAAGCCCTGGGCCAGGACAGGGCGGCTTGTTTCTCTTTATGAAACGGACGTGAAACAGAGTGAATGTATATGAAAGAGCACCTGTCCAAATATTATTCAGTATTAGTGCATACGACACAGTCGGCATTACCAAGAAACATTAACGGGAACATTCTGGAGCAGCACAAAGCAGAAGTAGCACAAAGTGTCTGCACTCGTGGCCAAGCAGTCGTGGGACACGAGGAAAGAGCAGGGACGCACATGTGTGATGCATTCACCGGCAGGCCATCAGTAACACCCAGGCTGTAACTCCTGCTCCAGCATGTTGTTGTAGGGGTCGTGGGTCTGCTGCGAGATGTGGACACTGCAGTATTTCTCTGTCATCATCATCATCATCATGGCCTGTGGGCTGGAAAAGTGAGCAAAGGACAACAAACAAGACGACGCACAGGAATCACACGTTGTCATTAAACACTCAGACACACTGTTTGTACCACAGTGATACAGGCGCAAAACATTTAATCTCAACAGTGTAAAAATACACAGCAGTACTTGATGAACTCACCACGACTTAGACAAAATACAGGAAAATGGTGAGGTCCAAAAAATCCCCAGACAAAAGTCATTAATAAATAATTTATAACTAATGACAAGACACAGTCCAAAACCAATTTACCAACATTTTAAAATAAAATGGTGGAAAGTACATTTACTCAACTGCTCCACGTCCTGCTCCTTCATCCTGTGACTCCATGTCAGAGACAGACCGTGTACTTTTTACTACACTACATGTACCTGATACCTTCAGGTCCAGAACCAGATGAACCAAACCAAACCCAGTAGAACCATCAGACTCTATTGATCCCAGTAGGAAATCCACCAGCTACCCAGCAGGATGTAAAGTACTTCCCTGTATAAGTATATAAGGTAGTTACCATCAGCTCCACCTTTACCAGCTGCAGCATTAAAGTGATGGACACAGTAATTAGTCACTATGATCCAGTATCAGAGACGTTACTGGGACACGGGCCGTTCTGCTGAACAACTGCTCTAAGTATATTTTGATACTGATACTTTTGTAGTTGTACTTGAATACATGACTTTTACTTGTAACTTGTAGTATTTTTACACAGTAGTATTGCTACTTCTACTTCAGTAAAGGAACTGAGAACTTCTTAGAGCTAAACAGGCAGCAACGACATAATGATGTAACGTGTGTGGAATAAATTGTACAAAGTATCAGACAGAATCATACGAAGTTAAAAACAGAGAGAGAGACTTTTCACCAACACACACACACACACACACACACACACACACCGTAGATCACATGTGCAGGGTTCACTTGACCTCAGGCAGCAGCTCTCCGCTGTCTGCCATGGCGGCAGGGCTGAGGCAGCGGCAGCCGGCTCGCTCCTCCTCTCTCTGGGAGCCCTCTCATCTTTTTCCCATTAGTGCTGTTTTCTTGCTCCTTCCTAGCCTGAGTGTGTGTGGCTGCAGTTGTTTATGAAGCAGTGTTTACATGTGTGTGTGTGTGTGTGTGTGTGTGTGTGTGTCCAGCAGGGATTTGTGCAACAACTTGCTCCGTTCTCATGAACACAAAATGTAGTAGTTTTTAATTAACCATTTACATCCATTATAAGTCATTGACAAAGTGCTTGTCCACACTAGAATGACTTATTTAAAACCAGTTTCCCAGCGTTACCGTTTCAGGCCCACTAAACTCCAGTTCACATTTATCAACATGTTCCAAATGTGTTCGTTTGACACGATTTGATTTGGGTTTAACACTAAAACTGGACATTATTACAGTATTTGTTTTCATACAGTTGATACAGCTCATACTGTCGGTATTTAGTTTGCAGTCACACCACTACACTATCAACCATCTGTACATATTTTTAACCCTTTATCTTTTACTTTGAGCTATTAGTACTTTTAAGTACGTACACATTACTTTTAACAATTTCATCATTTGTCCACTACCTTAATTTAAATATTTGACCTATTCATTCATTACTTTTAGCGACATTTTTAACCATTTATCTCATATTTTTTTTAGCTAAAGTACCAGTTTTTACTGTACTTGTCCTTTAACAAGCCAACTACTAACAGTCAGTCGTGACACACTGTCTCAGCACGAGTCTAATTCTAATCATTTATGAAATAATAATAATAACAATAACATATACTACTATTATTAGTAGTAGTAGTGGTGGTAGTAGCAAAAGTAGTTGCGACAGTTTTAATGTACCTCTGGCAGCTGTGCTGGGAATCACTTGGTCTCTTTACACAACACCAAAATGAATATCATGGAGTGGAAGTAAATATTCTTTATTCTTAGATTCTCCTGCACGTTGAAGACTGAAACGTACGCCAGCTGTGTATTTTCTGCCTTGTTATAGATGAAATGAACATCCAGATGCTGAAACGCCACAGTGGATCACAGCATCTTCCATCCATCATCTGACCAGAACGTGTCTCCGCCACGTGGAACAAGGTGTCAGGACAGGCAGGAATAAAAACACACAACAGGAAAGAAGTGCCCAGACAACATAACATCTAAATCACACACAACTGCTGAGGTTAGGGCTTCAGTGGACACACATCCACACACTGTGAACCAGCAGCTGAACCACTCTGGGGACAGGAGAGGCTGGACTCAAGTGGGGGTGCACAGGGTGAAGCGGCCGGCATGAAGC